GGGGCGGGGTTGGTGGCCTGTAGAGAGGGGTTGCAGCTGGAAAAGGCAGTGGCAGCCAGACCCGGGAGCACAGGTGGTGAGGGGCAGACTGAGGTCACACATTCGGGTGCAGATAAGCTAGGCAAAGCAAAAATGGGCAGCAAGACAGACTGAGCAACCCAGGGCCCCAGCAACGTGAAATAAAGCCTAAAACCACCGACTGAAAAGGGGCCAGGAGAGACTCCCAGCCTCACAGGAGAGTTCACTGGAGAGACCCACAGGGTCCTAGAACAAACACAAACCCACCCACCTGAGAACCAGCACCAGAAGGGCCAAATTTGCTTGTGGGAAGTGGCAGAGGGGACTGAAATTTGAGAGAGTACAAAACAAGCACCACTGTTCCCTCTTGGACCCTGCCCCCACATACAGTGTCACAACCCACCAACCTGGGTTACCCCACCCTGGTGAACACCTAAGGCTTCACCCCTCATATGTAACAGGTGCAACCTGACCAAAAATGGCTCAATCAGAAGAACAAATCAAAGCTCCAGAGCCAATTCTTTTAAGTGACAAAGAGATAGTCAACCCATCAGATGCACAGTTCAAAACAGTGGTGATCTGGATGCTCATAGAACTGGTTGATTTTGGTCGCATATTAGATGAAAAAATGAAGGCTACACTAAGTGAAATGAAGGAAAATGCACAGGGATCCAATAGTGATGGGAAGAAAACTAGGACTCAAATCAGTATGGACCAGAAGGAATAAAGAAACAACCAAACAGAAAAGAATGAAGAAACAAGAATTCAAAAAAATGAAGAGAGGCTTAGAAACTTCCAGGACATCCTTAAACGCTCCAATATCCCAATTATAGGGATACCAGAAAGGGAAGAGGAAGAGCAACAAATGGAAAACTTATCTGAACAAATAATAAAGGAGAACTTCCCCAATCTGGCAAAGGAAATAGATTTCCAGGAAATCCAGGAAGCTCAGAGAGTCCCAAAGAAGTTGGACCCAAAGAGGAACACACCAAGGCACATCATAATCACATTACCCAAGATTAAAATGAAGGAGAGAATTCCAGAAGCAGCAAGAGATAAGGGGACAGTCACCTACAAAGGAGTTCCAATCAGACTGTCAGTGGATTTTTCAAAAGAGATGTTACAGGCAAGAAGGGGCTGGAAAGAAGTATTCCAAGTCATGAAAGGCAAGGACCTACATCCAAGATTGCTCTATCCAGCAAAGCTTTCATTTAGAATGGAAGGGCAGATAAAGTGCTTCTAAGATAAGGTCAAATTGAAGGAGTTCATCATCACTAAGCCCTTATTATATGAAATGTTAAAGGGACTTATCTAAGAAAAAGAAGATAAAAAATATGAACAGCAAACTCACACTTATTACAAACACACCTAAAACAAAAGCAAACTACTCAGACTCCTAAAACAGGAGTGGAGCCACAGAAATGAAGATCACATGGAAGGTTAGCAACAGGGGAATGGGAGGAGGTGGGGGGAAGGTACAGAGAATAAGTAGCATATACGGTGGGGAGAAAATAGGAGGAGGGCAAGAATAGTATGGGAAATGTAGAAGCTAAACAACTTATGACACATGGACATGAACTAAAGGGGGGGAATGTGGGTGGGAGGAGGTGTGCAGGGGGGAATGGGACAACTGTAATGACATAATCAATAAAATATATTTAAAAAATAAATAAATAAGAGATGATTTCACTCATCAGTAGAGACTGACTGAAGGAGTCTAAAGAGAACAGACTAGACCTGGCTGGTGTAGCTCAGTGGATTGAGCACAGGCCTGCGAACCAGAGAATGTGGTTCAATTCCTAGTCAGGGCACATGCCTGGGTTGCAAGCCAGCTGCCTGCAGGCCAGTTCCCAGCAGGGGGTGTACGAAAGGCAACCATACATTGATGTTTCTCCCTCTCTCCTTCCCCTCTAAAGATAAATAAATAAAATCTTAAAAAAAATAAAGAGAACAGACTAAATTTGTAATAGCTATTCTTATAATTTTAGCTCTCTCACTGATCTTGTCAAAGAGAATGAACAAGAAAGGAATTAAAAAAAAAAAACCCAAAATATTTGAGTGCACTGTAGGCACTGCTGAAGTGAGCTAGTCTTAGCTCTACCATGTTTGTATACTTATCAATATACTTGTTTGTATCCCCACTAGAATATGAAGTACGTAAGGGTAGAAAATGTTTATCTTGTTCATCACTTTATCTCTACAAGCAAATGGAACTCAACAAATACACAGCATGAATATGAATACGCAATGAACAAAATCTACATATTGTTAAAAATTCCTTAATAGTTGGTGACTGACAGATATTATGACTGAGAGGTAAAAAATGTCGGTGGCTGACATTTATTTTGTCTTCCTAGGTCCATAAAAGACATTAGGCTGCCTTTTAAGTCAAAATTAGAATTTGTTCAATAAATTTAAAAGACAGCGGGGATAAAATTCAGTATTTTATTTTCTTTTTTCTTTTTTTTTTTTTTAAGATTTTATTTATTTATCTTTAGAGGGGAAAGGAAGGAGAGAGGGAGAGAACTGGCCTGCAACCCAGGCATGTGCCCTGACTGGGAATCGAACCGTGGTTGCTTGGTTCCCAGGCCCGCGCTCAATCCACTGAGCTACACCAGCCAGGGCCAGTATTTTATTTTCAATTAAAAAAAAGATTTTATTTAATTTTAGAGAGAGGGGGAGGGAGTGAGAATGAGAGGGAGAGAAACATCAATCAGTTGCCTCTTGCACACCCTCAAACTGGGACTTGGCCTGCAACAAAGGCATGTGCCCTGATTGGGAATTGAACCAGTGACCTTTAGGTTTGTGGGACAATGCCCAACCCACTAAGCCACATCAGTCAGGGCAAAATTCAACATTTTAGAAAAAATGCACCAATTAGATTTTTTAGGTATGGTCAAATTACAGTCTGGTTCTCACCTTTAAGCTACTTTAATTAGTATTTGGAATTCTTGGTAAATGAGAAATTCTACACAAATGAAGTTTTCATGTATTTGAAATGTGACTCTACCTTTAAGAATCATACTTTTATATCATTTTGGAAGGAAATCTTTTTAAAAATGCACTTCACATATTCCTGCCACCCAAAACAGAACTGAAGAAAGATTTAACCTTTTCTTAAAAAATGTGAGAGTCACCACTATGATATCAATTATTGTATCACACAGAGTTGTGGAAAACTGTTATATATGAGCTACAAGTGTATTGTAAGTAGACCTACATACCTACACTTTTTAATTCCTGTTTCTTCAGCTGACCCTGTTTGTTATCATCAAAGTGCTTGTCCAATTTTTAATTTGTTACTCTGCTTTGGAGTACGCTGGGAAATGTGTGTGTTAAAACTATCTCAAGAGTGAATTTATCACTGGACTTTTTTTTTTGTACTGTTCAGTCCTACCACCACATGCAAATGTTATTTTCATTAAAGAGGGGAAGGGACAGTTTTTTGTGAGCTGTGTGTGTAGAGCATAAAGATCTGAATCAGGGACTTACAAGTTGCCTTCTATCTAATACGAATGAGGTTTTACAGCACAATTTACTCATTTGCCAACTGAGTTCTTTGTCTATCCATTATTTACTTTTTAGCTTTCTTTCTGATTCTCCGCTATGCTTCTAATAACTCAAGGTTGCCACATATGTGGTTGTTCTAACTAGTTATACTCCTTAGCCATTTAATTTAAAAATTAAAAATAATCCAAGTACCAATTTTAAGTACTTTAAGATTTTTTTTTTATTTTTTTCTTTAAGATTTTTTTTAAAAAAAGTGGGTGAATGTGGGTGAGAAAGGTTAGTATTGACAAAGTACTATAATAATAATAATAATGGTTAGCATTTTTATAAAGAATATTTTAAAAATCTTATCTATAAACACAAACCAATGAAGGTTTTTCATGCAAGTCTTTTCATTGACTATAACAGAGCTGCTACTTGTTCTGCAAACCCCTATCTGCCTGCATAAGCACAGATGCCAAATTGTGATTTCATAATAAAGCAGTATTTTAAAATATTTTCATATTCCTAAAAAAAATTCTGGCACATTAAATTGATCTGACTGTTCTTGGGTATTACTTTATTTGTTTTTACACCAAACTCATAGCAAATATTTTTGATAAAATATTCAATTTTGAGTTTTAAAAAATAGCAGATATTGAATAAAATTTCAAGTGCTCAGCAGAACTAAAATGAACTAAGTATTTCCCAATAACTTTCACACAAGCTAAGGAATATAAATATGAAATAGGAAAAAGCATACAAATGCTACTGCTGATCTATAAGTAAATAATTTTAAAATACAAGCGGTCCATGGTGACCTTTTAAAAAAGAAACTGAAAATGCTGAAGTTCTAATATAAGCTAGTATTGCAGTTTAGAGAAAACTTCAATATCATAGGTGTTAAGATTTTTATACTTATTTTCTGAAATAAAGCAGAAATATGTTTTTATTACATATTGTATACTTTCCCCAATATATGTGGGGAAAAAAACTACCAATGAACCAACTCTCAAATTCAGAGGCTATTTGTTTAAAAATAAGCAAAGAAAAAGTTTTTGCTAAAACCTATGTATACATGTAGAATCCAGACCTTTCTGTGCTCTTCTATATAAGGCTGCAACCAGAGCAAATTATGTTCCACAGCAAAGGCATAAAAAGCTAGTAAGAATCTTGTTTCACTGCTAGAAATCAGAACTCTCGAAACTGCTGAATGTATCACAGGGCAGACTCTTCATAGAATGAAAGCTGTAGGATCTCTAGACTGTATCTTATTTTTACTCAAATGAGAAAAACAGCCCAGGGTTAATCTGAAACAAGACTATCTTAAGCTAAAATGACATAGTTTATTGCAACTCCCCAAATATTAAAGAGCTCCTAATATAACTTGAATTAGGGTCGTGAACTGGTTCAACATATTTCATTTGTGTTTTTATGAATTATAATGAATGCTGCTACTCTTTAAAAACGAATATATCAAAGGGGAAATAACCTCCTTGGCATGCTTACAGCTACATAACACATTAGTTTCATTATTTTTGAGTGCCAGTGCTGGAGGCTCAGCACATAAGTCAGTGCGAGGAGGACTTCAGTCACAGCGGCAAGAGGGTCTATTGAGCAGATAAGGGAAATGGACAAATAACAGGTGAGTACTTAACAAATAAATATAGAGTTAATCTACTTTTTCCTTCAAAAATTTTGCTCTCATAGCTTTCTTTTCTATCTGGTAGGTTAAAAACCAAACTGAAAAATTTACTAATGTTAAAGGGGAAATTTTTAATATGGAATCTGTAGGTTTTGTGAATAAACAGTATAATCTTCCTGTTAGCTTCCCCTCCTTTCCAGGGAAACTGGGAAAGTTAAGGAGGAAATTATTATTTAAAACAAACAAAAAACTGGTTCAAATGTGGCACAAAGTGATTAACTTGGAAAATATCTGTTGTGGAAACACATTTTCTTTAAAAGATGAAATTACTAAAAACAATTACTTGGATGTAGTAATACCTGTTATTTTGTTTTTCTTCTCTCAAACTAAAGGAATCTTGAAATACTTTATGTGAATAGCATTTATATCACTATTAAGACATACCTGGTCAGAAAAAAAAGAAACCCAGCTACAAATAAAAATTCCTAGATGGTAAATCATTTATTTAGATTTCAAGTGGGCTGAGAGTATTTCTAGCCCTGTGGCTAGTGTGCACCAGAAAGTTCAGTTCAGAAGTACTTAATGCTTTGTTTGATGTTTCTGTTCTGTACCTGTTGTAAAGGTAACAAGTAGCTTTTTATTATAACCACTGAAATATCAGGAACATGTGTGTGGGAACTGGCTGCACTTCACAAACGCACAAGACCTATTGAAAAGGGAGAGGCTACTAAAATCAAGTATTCTAATTGTTTTTTGAAAATAAAATAATGCGATCCACGTTTTGTATCTGTGGGAACTCTTTGACATTCAAATTTGAACATAATTCTACCACTACAAAAAAAAAGAGAGAGAAACTAATTATTTTTTCCCCACAGCTATCAGTTTCTTTCACTAAGCCTTCTGAAATCTGAGCTTCTGTAAAAAACACTAAACACTTGGGCCTTACCTACAGCCATGGACAGATGCATTTATGTTCTCACGTTAGAGAACTTGAAATTGTTCTTAAAGGAAGAAGTCAACGTCAGCTTCGAGTATTTGGCATGGGTACAATGCCTTAAAAAAGGAGATGACCAGTTTAGCTACTGACCATGCTGACCATTGTCTGGAATTGGATCAAATCACAGAAAAACAGTGAATGGCTTTCTCTTACAGAACATCTGAAAAAAGCACAATTCCTGATCACATTTTGCAGAGCTCATTTGATCACTTAATCTCTTCTAACTAGTCTGGATTACACACAGAATCGATACCAGAGGAAATGAAACAGACTGGCGAGGACCAGGGAAACAAACTGCACTGGGCAGCTCTTCTGATACTCATGGTGATAATACCCACGATTGGTGGAAACATCCTTGTTATCCTGGCTGTTTCACTGGAGAAAAAGCTGCAGTATGCTACCAATTATTTTCTGATGTCCCTGGCAGTCGCTGATTTGCTGGTTGGATTGTTTGTGATGCCGATTGCCCTCTTGACAATAATGTTTGGTAAGTATTTCACTTTGTTCCTGCCATCAAATCACAAAACTGTGATATACTACTAGAGAAACGAATACTTATTTAATCTCTAAAGATGGATGTGGATTATTTAAACATACAGAGAGTAAACAGTTCATTTTTCATCATTTCCTACGGTAGTTTTAAAGAGCAGAAAATAATTTCTTAGAAACAATTCTACTCCCTCCTTAGTCATCTAATAAAATAATTCCAAGTCATCCAAATTAGCAATAGTCACAGATTCTGTAGACATCACTAAAAAATTATAGTGAAGAACAGATACATACTTCAAGTTTCCCATTATGAATACCTTTTTTCCATTGACAAAGTGATAGCTAGGACACTTGTGTAACAATTATGTACTGGGTTAATTATTAGTGATAAGGTTTTTTAATCACAAAGTTTCAATTTAAATCACTAAACCCCAATTTAAAATTAGAATTATTCTTATAATTTTTGCATTTATGGTTTGTGAACTTTAGACTTAAAACGCAATTCTTACACAGGTGTCATGTTAAGAAAAAATTAAGTTTAGATGCTGAAAGAAATGGTTTGGCTCAGAGTGTCCCAACAGATGAGCCATGTATTTAATTTTTATAATGTCTGACCACCCATGTCCTTGATGTATGTAAGAGAAATAAGATCTCCAGGTTATTAGAATAAGTGACCAATACCTGAGTTATTATAGTAAAAAATGTAGTTTGATACTGAAATCCTTGTTATAATAAAAAAGATAATGATATTAAAATGATATAAGTAGTTTATGACTGATATATATCACTTTTAGTTATAAAATTTGAGTAAACACAATTCTGCTGATGAGTTATGAGAACTCCTAAGAATCAGCATTAAGAGGATATTTAACTTACTCAATGCTTGGCATAAACTGATTGCATTCATTAAATGCTTAAGAAAAATGATTATCTTTAGGAGAATAGGGCTTCTTGAAATTATGTTGATATGGTGAATATAAAATTATTTCAGGTTGCCTGGCCACGTGGCTCCGTTGGTTGTGGCACTGCCCCATATACCAAAAAAGTTTTGGGTTCAGATTTGATGCTCTGTTAAGGCGAGTATGAGAGGCAACCGATCAATGTTTCTCTCTCTCTCTCCCCCTCATTCTCTCTCAAATCAGTAAACATATCTTTAGATGATGATTAAAAAAGAAAATTTCAGGTTACAGAAGCAAAGTTTATTTAACTACACTGCATATTAGGTGAAGAAAAACTGCCACTCAAACTAATATATTCGAGTTGACATGTTAGATTTTTATAAGTATAGAGAGGTATCTAAAATTGAGTATTTGACCTCTCAAATATAATCGAATGGTGATGGGTTGACTCTTCCCAGTCTAAGCCAACATTTACCCAGGATTTGAATTCTGTGGCAGAGCAAGCAGTGTATAAGGTTCTACCACTTGAATAGATTCCCTAATCACTCACACTGTCTTTCTAGCTATCCCCCTCCTTTTATAGATTTATAATCTTTTGAATAATCTAGAGCCACATGCAACCAAGAAAAATAAAGAAATCTTATTCTAAAAAAGAACCTAAACAATCCTAATTCTCTAAAGCTTAAAATAAATATAGTAATGAGGATTGTGTAAAGACATTTATGCATATTTAGTAAAGACTGTATAGGTACTAGATTCAAGCTTTTATCCCCACATACACAATAGGAACTTAATGTATGAAATCATACTCCTTAGACTGTGCTTTGCTAGGCATATAGAAAGTGTTAAAATGCTACCATAAAATTTAACTGATGCTATGTTAAATCAGTGAGATTGAATGATTTACACAGAAGTGAATTTTAACTTTAAAATCCATGAGTCCATAAATATCAAACATACACTATATGTAAAATACTGTGATAGATAATTATAAATGATCAGCTAAATAGTTAAGGGATCCGAAAAAGTGAAGAAATCTCCATTGTGTTAAAAGTGACAAATAAAACACAGAAACAGATAAGAGAGATAATTCCATGTATTCCACAGGAAAATAGTAAGTATCTAGCAGCCGAGAACTAAATTTATATTAAAGTTTTGGGGCTCAAGATAGTCTTAGCAATAAAGGTTAGCAGGAAACCCAACATACTTTAACATATGTGGAACATCTTTCTATTTATGTCCTAAATAATACATGTATTTTTAATCACATTACAATTCTTCTAAATATTAATTTTAAATTACAAAATAAAATCTTTCACAGCCCCAAACACTTTTACTATCAGTAATTAAGCTGTATACCAGGGTCAGAGTTTTAAAAAATGAACTAACCTGGAAACTTGACCATTATTTAAAACATTATTGCATTCATTCATTATTAAAAGTACTATATTTCTATGAGAAAGTATATTTAAAAATGCAAGCTGCCCTCTAAAAAGCTTCAAAAAAACGTACTCATAAATTGAGAACTGCATACATTATAAATAAGGACCTGACTTCAAATACTAAGATTTTTCTGACAACCTTTAACAGGTTAACAAATAGGCAGACTTCCTAAAATGATGCATTTATAAGAATTTCTATCTTTAAAGGACAGAAACATACAGAGATAATCCTCACAACTTCTGATATCTGTACAAAATTATCTCTAGTTCTATAAACACAAAATTTAACTACCACTTATACGTGATGAGTGATTTCAGTTATCTCAGAGAAATTCAATTAAAGTAACGTTGAAATTTTGTATTAGCTAATATTCTAATAAGATTAAGTTAAAAAAAGGAGAGCACTGAATTTTAAAAAGTGGTTCTTATGCTGAAGAATATTTTATCCCACCAGTAATTTACATATTTACATAATATTTGGTTATATGGTTTGAATTTTTATTTGACTGAGTATGACTCCTGGCACAACATGGTCTTTCAAATAAGTCGTGCTCTGTCAGCTTTTGTGTTACTTCTCCCTCTCTGGGAGCACTGGACCTAACCTTTCCCATTCAATTCTAGTTTTTTACAGTCTTGCCTGTAATTCCCAAAGGCCACAATTACAAATTAGTAGCTTATGTTTAAGTCTTAACAATGCCTGCATCAGAAATAATTGAGTAGGACACAGAAAAATAGAACATCCTATGCCAATATAAAAAAAAATGGGATGTTCACAGTTTAAGAATTTCTCTCAATTTTTCCTTTCCACATTAAATAAATTGAACTATAAAGAGAGGATAATATATATCATTTGGTCATCCACTGGTCATTATTGGTTTATTTATATCTTAAATTTTAATCCATGTCCCATGATCTATAAGTTGAAACAGTATTTGTGGTACAGTTGAAAGAGGGTATATAAAATGGCTAAAGGAGGGGGTTTAAAGCAAGACACCCAAGCTTTGAATCTTGGCTTCCTGTGTTGTCTTAGGAGTCACTTAACATGTCAGAGTTCAATCACTTCGTCTGTAATGTGGGTATGCTAAACCTTATACTGCAGGTATCCTGTGAATTTGTCAAGTAGGGCCAGAATATTACAGGCACTAATAAATGGAAAGTATTGTATTAAGACAGTATGCAAAAGGACTTATATACTTAAATATGTGATTTAGTTTATATGAGCATCTGAACAGAGATGAAACAGATGTCTAGTAGTAAAATTCTAAGAAAGAGCCAGTTATTCATTTATGCAATGAAATGCTGCTGCACCCAATTCTTAAATGAGGGAGCAAAACAATTAAATGCACTTCCTTTTGGAAAGTGGAAATTCTAAACATCAAGAATAAATTTTCATAAATGTTAAATCACTTGAAACATTTAAAGCGCTATCATGTCAGCTATCTACCCCAGAGTATTTCATATGCTCAAATGTAGCAGAAAAACAACAAAACCAAAATAGGAACTTCATAATAAAACTTAAAGCACTTATCTATGTCTCTCTTTTCTGTAAAGATAGAAACATAAAAATTTCTGAGATTAAAAAAATGTATACTTTAAAACTATATCCTTTTTGGACATCAGGATTATTTATGATCTGACCTGCTCCAATCTGTTCATGAACTTTTGACCTCTATGAACTTTACAGGTACAGCCCTCTAAGAATAGCTTTAAAAATAGTCTTTTAAACCCTCAAAAGGGAATTATGCTATGCCCCAGATTTATAGATTAATGTAAATTACTTTCTAAACTAATGACATAACTGTCCAAATGAAAAATTTACTCAAAGGGTAAGCAGGATTCAGATAAAATGAGTTAAATCTCATCAAGAAACGGTTTTGGTTTCCTGTTAAAAATCAGTTTCCGGTAAAAAAAAAAAATAAAAAAATCAGGTTTTAATACCAGTTACAAAGCAAAAAACCAACCAACCAAACAAACAAAAATAGGCATGCCAATGCGTATAAATTATTTGTTTCTTTGGCACTTATAAAAATAGTTAAATTTAACTTTAAAAGTAAAAAGTGTGTTTCCATGGCAATTAAAAGTTGAACAGTTAAACATGTTCTCCTACCCTTTTTTTGAAGCAGTTTTAAGTTCAATTGGACAAACATACTGATTTATACTGATGATATATGGCTTATTGTTTCTAAGTAGGAGTGTTTTAATAGCTGGGCTGGTTGGCTAATTTCTGTCAAACAATAATACATTTATTGAGTACTTTCTCTATGGCAGACATTGTTTTAAATACTTCACATGTATCATTGCGTTTAATTCTCAAAGCAACCCTATAAAAATAATATCATCGCCATTTTACAAGAAAGAACACTAGATAGATAGATAGATAGATAGATAGATAGATAGATAGATGGATAGATAGCAGGGACATGATTTGAACACAGGTAATTCAATTCTAGAATTCACACTTAATCTCTATCACTCTCAAATAATGAAAAATTATTTCAACAAAAAAAGTCATGTTTGGCAAATAGCCAACATTTGTACTTTAAATAACTCTAACAAGAGGGTCACAGAATTTTCTCTAGGGACAAAGGGAGAACCCAATATTTTTTTTTTTAAGTTACATTTCATACTAAGTGGTACAGAATGCTGTAACTGGGTCTGAACCAGTACACGTATAAATTTTTGAGATCACTGCCAGACTGCTCTTCTGAGAAAGATATGAGACCTGGGCCCATGCATGTAAAGTTACTGAACCTTGCTTGTTTGGGAGACAAATAGACACTTATGTAACTGAATGGCAATTCTACCACCCTTCTGGCATGGTTGCATTTAAAGCATATGAGTCTTCCTTTTAAACAACAAAACACTTGTGCTATTAACATTTTTTTTAAAATTTTTTCACAGAAACTTATTTGAGCCAAAGAGATGATATACCTGGAAGCAAGACCTCAATAGTCTGAGAGAAATGCTTCCTATGCTACTAATATTTTAGATAAATAATGAACTATCTATAATCCAAAACTCATCTAAGACTTGTTTTGCTTCTAAAATGATCAATTTGTAACTATTTCAGGCACCCATAGAAATGTCATTATTCAAACCTTATTGAAATTAAATTCTTTGAGTTTAATTTGGAAGTGGGTGGGGGAAAGAGGTGAAAAATATAATTTTTTCCCCAGGGATATTTTGCGTGCTTTCTTTTTGTAGCACAACAAATGCTATATAATTTAAATGTTTTCCCTTTTGTCTTAAGTTTTTATGAAAAAGTCAAATTTAGAGCTCCAAAATAGCAGTAATTTAGTTTAAGTATCTAATAACTTACTTTCCATAGACTGACTCTCAGGTATACTTTTCTTTCTTTTTATGTAACTCCATTTTAAATAATAAGTTCTTATGGAAATAAGCTGGGCATAATATATTACAACAAATAAACGATGCTATAAATCTCTGAAACAAAACTCCTAAAAAAGCAAATTTTTGAAATAGTTAACCTATCTTAACATACCAAGCGCATCTTTAGTTATTCTGAATAGTACAAAATCTTTTGTCCATGAAATTAACAGTAACTGAAAAGATACTTTCAGAATGAAAGCATCTGGACTAGAAAAAGTCCCCTTATGAACTGAGAATATCTGAAACTATTTTTATGATTTGTATAAATTCTTAGATCAATCTATTTAAGCAATTAGGTAAGCCTTTTCTTTTTGCTTTGTATAAAATACGTCTATTAATTTAATGCAGTCATCTGTTCCTTTTATGTTAGTTTTATAAAAAGTCTATTCACTAGTATTTTATGAATACTGGAATCATAAACTTAATCCTAATGATTCATTTCTCTTAATCCTAAACCTTATAGTCTCTTTCTTTTTTAAAGAAAATTCTCTACCATGCCTCTAATATTTCTATTGTTATCAATAGGAAAGCACTGACTCAACAAAAGTCTAGCGATCTGAATAGATTTTAATACCCACTTCCTGTTCCAAAATTGGAGTTATAAAACAAATTCATTCTGATGGAAAATAAGGCTAATAAGGCTTTACAGGCTTCATTAAACCAGCTCGAAAGAGCTTTCCTTCTTAGCCTGTGATTAGGAATAAGTGGGTCAGACAGACTATAATTCCAGAGACATGTACATTTTATATGAGAGTTCTAATGTGGCTTCCTGCTCATGGCTACTAGATTTATGACGAAAATTTTCCAGACCTTAATTAAAAAAATATAATCCATAACTAGAACAGCTAAATAGGCAAGTTTAAATTATTAACAACCCATTTAAAATGATAGAGAGAACATGCATGTAAACAAAGGAAGCCTAAGATATAACATTAATTATCTGCCTTTTACAATCCTAATTATGATCAGTATCTCTGGATGTAGCTCTAGCCCTGAGTATTTTTCTACATCCTACCCAGTCCTAAGTCTAGAACTTCAGGACAGTTCAGAATACAGCTTCACTTTAAGTTTCCACAGCAAAACTCTCAATCATAAGCAGACCACTGGTTTGCTTAAGCTCAGGTCAAATGTTGCCACCTCTGACTGTCCAAAGTCCTTTCCCACTAACAGAAAATCTGAGTATGGTAGATAAAAGGGAGAAAATTAATTGATTAGATTCTTTCTACACACAGATTTCTCTAACATTTCTTTACTTTGAGAAGTTTCCCAAAAGTTCCTTTCTGAGGCACTCTGAGTGGCTGTCCTATTAGTAAATATCAAGCCAGACACAACTGTTCCAAGTCTTCTAAAGCAGTGTTTCTCAAACATTAATCTGCATACAAATCACCCAGGCATCTCGTTCAACTGCAGGGTCTGATTCAGCAGTCTGAGATGAGGCCCGAGAACCTGCAGCACTGACCGCTTCCCAGGTCATGCCAATTCTTGCTTATCTGAACAGCACGCTTTGAGCAACAAGGTTCGAAAGGATATTTTCAAGTTTTATGAATAAATGTTTCCTCTCCTATTTAAAGGCTTAACCTGCACCTAAATTTATTCATCTGCAAAATCAGTGATATAATCTCTAAGGTCCCTTCCAGCTCAGGGACTGTATAATTTATTACCTCCATCTGTTATTGCCACCCCCAATTGAGTGAAGTAGGAATAATATGATTATAGTAATTTACTAAAAAGTAGGAATTACTCCTTCCGCCCGATGCTCAAGTAGCAACCAATAATTTATCCTTCTGAACAAAAATTCATACTGATTTTGTTATTCTAAGAAAAAATAAATTTTAATCTTCCTATTAAGAATGCCACATTGACCAACTCTACAAGCAGAAGGAACCAGAAAGTGGATCTCTGAGCCTTGCCACCTTTTTTGTGAAGTATCTAAATATTTTTCACTGAAATCCTATTTGATTCTTAAAAAACTATATTTAAGTCTCTAAAACTTATTTTTCTAAATTATGGTCTCTCTTTATTTGGTCTAGGATGCTAACCTCTCTACCCCTACGCTCCTTGAATTTAAAAGTTTACAATGGAAGGTGTCTGCTGTTGCTCTGAAATCCTGAGATGTTAGCTTGGTCCCCTGTGCATTATCCCAATCATTTTATGCCTGTCAAAGTTAGATACACTTGCAAAAACCAGAAAAAGAAAAGTAGTTTATATTTTGTCAGTGGATCTATGACAAACTGTAAAAAGGACTTAGATAATCTCATACATGTGACATTTATTCTATACTGGAGTAATAGCAATTTCCAAAGCTTCTCTGTAAGTGTGTGTTTTGGTAAAACAAATTCTAACTGAAATATTCCAGGGAAAAACCTAAAATAAATCTTAGTTTTCAAACAATGAAACTGTGTGTAGTGGGGCCCTGACTAGTGTGGCCCAGTTGGTTGGGTGGCACCCTGCAAAGTGCACGGTTGCCGGTTTGGTTCCTGGTCAGGGCACATGCTTGGGTTGCAGGTTCAGTCCCTGGTCCGGGGTGCATACGAGAGGCAGCCTATTGATGTTTCTCTCCCTCTCTTCCCCCTTCTCTAACTTAAATAAATAAAATCTAATTTTAATAAACCTGTATGTAGTGGGTATATGTATAATACATAGTTATCAAATCCCTATTATGTGTGGACATTTGTCTAACTAAATTTATTGGAAAGCTTTGTAGAATAGTCAATACCATATCCAAAAATTTAAATTTTAAAAAGTTAATGTTTCGAAAGTGCTTAAGACCATATAAGGAATACAGGAAGTGCTTTCTTTTAAAAAGAGCTTGTTAAATAAATTAAGTACTATGCCTAATCCTGAAATTTTCTTTTTCGACCAAAAGTTCGTAGCACTTATTATCTCCAGAGCCTGAAGTAAATGATGGGGTAGGGAAGGATAACCATCTTCTTTTCCTCAGGATAACCTAAGGCCATTCCTTTCACAAACTCTATTCGAGAACTATTTCTGTCAAAAGGAAAACAAGTAATTTTACTCAATTATTTCACCAAATGAGAGTTTGCTATAAACAGGGTTCATGCTGCTAGTTATTGCTAGAAGTGAGCCCAAATCCCAGACCTCACTGAGAATCTCATTCTAATACTCTTTTTGGCATATTATACTGCTTCCTCCATATGGCAGAAGGTTTTCTTCTTGTATAATAGCAGCTTAAATATAAATTTTATTTGAATAGCAAGGTTAAGTTCCAGGTGCAACATTGTGCAAATTAAACTTAAAAAAACTTATTAATTTGAGAGAGAGGGGGGAAGGGGAGCAGAGAGAGAAAACAAGCATCGATCTGTTGTTCTACTAACTTGTGCCTTCACTGGTTGACTCTTCTGTGTGCCCCGACTGGAGACAGACCCTCCTGCACCCTTGGCATATTGGGATGATGCTCTAACACATGAGCAATGCAGCTAGGGTGAGCACTGTGTAAATTTTTAAAAGACCCCCAAAAGAATGATCAAAATAATGCTAAATTACTGATTTAGAAAAGGGTTGTAATTATAGAAACAAAAAATGTGTTTAGAAGATACCATACCATCTACAGAAATATATTTAATACTATTGATTCCATTATATGAAGTTAAACATCTTGTTAAGTCATCAAATTTCAGATAACTAACTAAAAGGTTAAAAAATATGTAGTGTTTTGAAGAAAAACTGCAGGCTGAAGGGTACCATTTTGCAGAAGAAATGTTTTGTGTTTCTTTTTTTTCAGAGGCTATGTGGCCCCTCCCACTTGTTCTGTGCCCTGCCTGGTTATTTCTTGATGTTCTTTTTTCTACTGCATCCATTATGCATCTCTGTGCGATTTCAGTGGATCGTTACATAGCCATCAAAAAGCCAATCCAGGCCAATCAATATAACTCACGAGCTACAGCATTCATCAAGATTACAGTGGTGTGGTTACTTTCAATAGGTATGTGGGGAATGTCAGGGTGTGGGGTGGTGTATACAGCCTTTGGTTCCATTTGACCAGGAGAGTTACAGGCCTGGTAAGCCATGAAACTCAGCACAAGAAGTCAGGGCAGCCTACTGACACATCAACACAAGCTCCTATACCTCATCATACAGCTTCTAAACCATACAATCAACAAAAAGTGTGAAAAAGCAGAGAAGTTCACGTTCTCAGAAAAAGAACTTCATATTTACTGAGTTATCTTCCTGCTTTGATTTTGACATGTAGGAAAAGGTAAGTCTAAAACCAGTTTTCACATCTGGTAATAGATTGTTAAGGTCTTGGTAGCATACTCAATACCAGGATAATATTAAAACAACCGTGAAAAGCATCTTAAATCATATCTAAGAAAGTAAGTAGGAAAAAAGAAAAAAATAATCTGAGCATTTTGTATGTAGGTATCAAAGGTCATAAATTCACCTTGGAAGGAAATATGTATATGTACTAAAGGCAGTAATGTCCTGCTTAAGTGTTTTAAATATGTTTAATTAGAAGCTTTAAGAGAAGAGATATAAGTAATGTTTGGAAATGATTTATAGAAAAACATATTTCCTCTAAATGGCTTTACGCCTTTGTGCCCATATTTAATGTACAAAGATAGCTACTATAAAATACTATCTTAGCATAAATAACTCAAACCTCTTACAACTTAATATCAGAAAAACAGATTCACAATTACTATGATCATTCATAGTTTGATGAGATGATTCACTTCTTCAAGGTGTAAAACATTGAAAGAATAAAAAGAAAAAGCAGGAAGAGACCTAGAATGTGAAAAGGAAAGCAAGAAAAAGATATGGTGTCTCTCTAATCAGAACAGGAACACTGGGGCAAAAAAGCAAGACAGTGAAATTAACCTTTTGTTCCTGAAATAATAATTTTGGGGCCAAACCTCTTGAAAAGTCTGGAGGTAAAAGTAGGGAGTTGTACTATGGCTTGGGAAGAAAGCAGGGTCAAGGAAAATCTATTCAGAATGGAGAGATTTACAAATTGTGAGAAAAGGCTAGTTTGGGAGGCAGAGGCTAGCTGACACAAAAAGAGGCTCTCTCCAAAAGAGAAGCTAGACAAACAGCATAGGAGATTAATGGGAGGCAGTTACCAAAATTTAAAATGAAGAGGAGGAAATCTAAAGTAGTTCACATCAAATGATACACAACTTGTTGGTAAGTTCACTGAGATGGGGAAGAGGAAAAGAGAGACAGGGTGAAGTGTGTGTGTGGGGTAGGGTGGGGAGAATGGGCAAAGGCAGGAGGAAAAGAGGAGAAATGGATTCTTAAGATTAAAACATCTAAAACTGGGAAATACGATTAAGCCAATATATAAAAAGCTTGTTGGTAGATACGGCATCACAATTAAGGCTGGATAACATGAATTTATAAACTGATCAAATTTTTACTTAGTACCTATGATGTGCTGGGCATTAAGACTACAAAAATGAAGAAGAAAAAGAATCTTTACACCCAAGGAAGAAGGATATATTAAGGAAATTAGACTAATACAAAGTTGTAAGTATGCAGGAATAAAAAAATGAAAGACTGCAGATTTATAGCTTTGGAAGGAATCTTATAAATCTACTCTTTCAAATCTACAGGCTGAGGAAAAAAACCGAGAGACTGAAATGGTTGGCTTAAGGATTCTTACAGCTTCTTAGTACTAAGACCAAGATCAATGCTCTTTTCATGCCATCACACTTTGTCTTATAGAACCAATGACAATTTAGTAACTTAATAAATAAAAAAGCAGATGATGGGTTTAGTTCAGTTTTCCAATTCAGCCAAGTGCTGAAAAGAGCTCCATTCCTTCTGGATTTATGGGTATCCTAGGTAACACCTGGGAACGGTAAGGTATTTAAGGGAAAATAAGGTAAGGGTATAAAAAGTACCAGTACAAATGAAAATGTTACTGTTTTGACCATCCCGCTGGCTGGGAAGGTAATGTGAGCCATATGAGGTTAATGGAATGGAAAGAAGGGAAGAAAGGATGAACCGGAGATCAAGATAATAGAAATAGAAGTTCTACAGTAATGGACAGTAGCAGGACAAAAAAGAAATAATCAGAATTCATGATTTTAGATAAGGGACACTTTTAAGTGAACTTGTGAATGGCTTCAGAAGTGCAAATAATAATAATCAGAGTTGAGAAGTTCAAGAAAATAAAATTAAGGTGGTAGAAGGGTCATCAATGGTATGAAGTCATAGAAGATGACATCAATGGAACAGAGAGGGAAACTAATGAGGAGCTATTGAGCAAATGGACAAATGTCTTGGAGACTGGTAGATAAATGAAGAATAGAGTAGTATAAATTGATCAAATAGATTTTAAAAGGAAAATATTTTGGGGGGAAGAAATAGAAGAATGATTACCTGGAAGTAAGAGGGTAGAGCAAGGGTCAGCGAACTTTTTCTGTAAAGGGCAACATACTAAATATTTTAAGCTTACTGGCTTTTCCACAGCTATTCAACCACAGCAGAACAAAAGTAGCCATAGAAATACATTAACCTTGAGTATGTTTATGTTCCAATAAAATTTTATTTACAAAAACAGAAGGCCAGGTTTAGCTCTCAGTTGTAGTTTGCTGACCCCTAGTGTAAGTGTACAGAATGCCCCTTCTGGGGGTTTTCCTGCGGAAAAGTGGGAAAAGCAGTGGACCCTACTAGAGGGTTTGAGGAAAACACTGCTTTCAAGGGCTCTTTAGCTACCATAAGAAGTCTCTATAGATAAGGGAACACTTTTAGATTCATAAAACAACACACAGATTCTAGAGGTTTCTAAAGATTAAATTCAGACTTATTTTTAAATATTTTGTTTCAAAAGGAAAAGATTCAGGCTAACACTTGTATTACTTGTCTTCCTATTAAGTTACTTCACCAAGCAATATCATATTTAAATATTTATTTTATGGTATTTAAAGTATTAGAAAATCAGCATGAGGAACATTTCTTTCATACTTATTAGAGGAACTCAATCTTGAAAATAAATTTTAGGATTCAGATACTCTTGAAGTTTTAAGTAGCATTTAAAAAAACTCCTTAGTTTTCCCTAAGAAGTAAAAAATTAAGACATTCACAAACATCAAAAGATAACTATCTGTTAAATGAAACTGTGTAACAGCAAAGGTAATAGATATTGATTCAGAATTAAGATATTGCATAAATATACTGTGAAAGTGTCTTATATCAACAAACTACATTGGATATTAAGATAAATACTGTTTCTCTTTTGAATTCCTCTTCCTTAACCTGAGATAGATGAACAAACAAAAATAGATTATGAGAAATGGAGAATAAATAAAGACATTTATCTACTATTTCATGAACATAATATAGCTTTAGGGCAGCTTAAATTATAAACCTGAAATCACTAGCCAATCTCTATTTAAAAACAGCAGGTTTGCTTACTTAGGTTCTACTTGTTAAATCTTCCACTGATTAAGTGCTTTGACAAATTCTACATTGTGGATACCAGTAATTATAATATACTAACCACAAAGTCACTAAAATCAACTCTAAAAGGACCTAATCTAAGAGTCGAAGATCATAAAATTAACTTAGTTTATCTTGTTTCCACCTCCTTAGGCATTGCTGTTCCAGTCCCTATTAAAGGAATAGAAACTGATTCGAGTAACCCAAATAACATCACTTGTGAACTGACAAAAGATCGTTTTGGCAATTTCATGCTCTTCGGCTCACTGGCTTCCTTCTTCACACCTCTCTCGATCATGATTGTCACCTACTTTCTCACTATCCATGCTTTACAGAAGAAAGCTTACTTCGTCAAAAACAAGCCACCTCAACGCCTGACGTGGCTGACTGTGTCCACAGTTTCCCAAAGGGATGAAACACCTTGCTCATCACCTGATAAGGTGGCAATGCTAGGTGACTGTCACAAGGACAAAACTCTGCCTACCTTAAGTGATGACATACTTATGCGAAGAATGTCCACAGTTGGAAAAAAGTCACTACAGACCATTTCCAATGAACAGAGAGCCTCAAAGGTTCTAGGGATTGTGTTTTTCCTCTTTTTGCTTATGTGGTGCCCCTTTTTTATTACAAATATAACTTTAGTTTTATGCGATTCTTGCAACCAGACTACTCTCAAAATGCTCCTGGAGATATTTGTGTGGATAGGCTATGTTTCCTCAGGGGTGAATCCTCTGGTCTACACCCTCTTCAACAAGACATTTCGGGATGCATTTGGCAGATTCATCACCTGCAATTACTGGGCCACAAAATCAGTAAAAACTCTTAGAAAATGTTCCAGTAATATCTTCCGGAATCCAATGGTAGGGAACTCTAAGTTTTTCATAAAACATGGAATGTGGAATGGGATTAATTCCGCCATGTACCAGAGCCCACTGAGGCTCCAAAGTTCAACTATTCAGTCTTCTTCAATCATTCTACTACATACACTTCTTCTCACTGAAAATGAAGGTGACAAAACTGAAGAGCAAGTCAGTTATGTATAGAAGTGGCACAGTTTTCATCTAGTATAATGATGAGTAGGACGATGAAGCAGATATAAATGCACCAAGAATTACATACAGAACTTGTCATTTATCATACCATCTCTGTAAACTAAGAGTTATATATCAAGATTACCCAGTTGTCTTTATTTGGACACATTTACTTTATAAAAAAAGATTTTTGGCTCTGACTGGTGTGGCGTAGTTAGTTTGGTATCATCTTGCAGAGCAAAAGGTCGCTGGTTCAATTCCCAGTCAGGGCACATACTTGGGTTGAGGGTTCGGTTAAAATAATCTAGCACTCTGGTTAAATGTTAAGGTAGTCAAATGAAATAAAATTAAATAAATCAGGACTTCCGCCAAGATGGAGGCATAGGTGGATGTGCCGTGCCTTCTCACATAACCAAGTTTAGAGACAACTAAATATTAGCAATAGAAAACACAGCCAGAACACGGAAAATTGAACTTTTCGGAAGTCCTTTAACAATAAATTCTTCAGCCTGACCGGTAAGGGGCGAAACCAGCGGCTGGTGAGGGGTTGCACAGGAGGACTCGGTCAGACGGAATCAGGCGCAGAATCCAGGCACAGGGTTGGACCTAGTGAGCGACCGAGCGAGCCACCAGGTGAGCGACCTCGAAGGAGACAGCGGGGAAGTGGTGCTGTGTGTTGACTGTGGTCGCCCTTTTGTGCGCGAGTGGACGGGCGAGGGAGTGGGCGGTTGGACCGGGCCCCTGCGGTCCCCGTGGCAAGCGGCAGTAGAGGGCGCCCTCATTTCCCTACTCTGACCACGCCCCCACATACAGCGTCACAACCCAGCGACCTGGGAGTCCAAGGCACCGCTTCTCACACTTAAAGGGCCAGAACAGACCAAAAATGTCGCAAGTTCTCAAAGCCCCAGAGCCCATAGATCTAAGTGATGAAGAAATAGCAAAACTCTCAGACGCACAGTTTAAAACACCGGTCATCAGGATCCTCACAGAACTGGTTGATTATACCCACAAATTAGACAAATATATGAAGGCGAAACTAATTGAAATGAATGGAATTGCACAGGACACCAATAGCAATGAAAAGGAAACTGGGACTCAAATCAATGGAGTGGACCAGAAGAAAGCAAATAATGGCCAAACAGAAAAGAGTCAAGAAGCAAGAATTCAAAGAAATGAGGAGAGTCTTAGGAACCTCCAGGACATCTTTAAACGCTCCAACATCCGAATTATAGGGGTATCAGAAGGGGGAAAGACACAGCCACCAGTGGAAAACTTATTTGAACAAATAATAAAGGAGAATTTCCCCAATCCGGCAAAGGAAATAGACTTCCAGGAAATCCAGGAAGCTCAGAGAGTCCCAAAGAAGTTGGACCCAAGAAGGAACACACCAAGGCACATCATCATTACATTAGCCAAAATTAAAATGAAGGAGAGAATCCTAGAAGCAGCAAGAGCTAAGGGGACAGTCACCTACAAAGGAGTCCCCATCAGACTGTCAGCAGATTTCTCAAAAGAGACCTTACAGGCAAGAAGGGGCTGGAAAGAGATATTCCAAGTCATGAAATCCAAAGACCTACATCCAAGATTGCTCTATCCAGCAAAACTTTCATTTAGAATGGAAGGACAGATAAGGTGCTTCTCAGATAAGATCAAATTCAAGGAGTTCATCATCACCAAGCCCTTATTATATGAAATGTTAAAGGGACTTATCTAAGAAAAAGAAGTTAAAGAAACATGAACAGTGAAAGGACAACAAACTCACAGTTATGAACAACCACACCTAAAACAAAAGCAAACTAAAAGGACAGCTAGATCAGGAGTGGAAACATAGAAATGAAGATCTCAAGGAGGGTTAGCAACAGGGGAGTGGGAGGAGGAGAAGGGGGGGAGAAGGTACAGAAAATAAGTAGCATAGACAGTAGATAGAAAATAGAAGGGGGGGCAAGAATAGCATGGGAAATATAGAATCTAAAGGACTTGAGACACGTGGTCATAAACTAAGGGGGGGGAATGGTGGGGAAGGGGGGTAGGGTGGAGGGGAATGAAGGGGGAAATAGAACAACTGTAACAGCATAATCAACAAAAAAATTTTAAAAAAACTCACAAAAAAATTAAATAAATCAATAACTGTCAGGCTTAAAAAATAGTATCTTCAGAAGAATTTATTTAGTTCCTACTTTTATATGCGAAGTTGTCCTACAAAGGAAATAAAACAAAACAAACAAGCATTATCCTCATCTTTAATGCCTTAAAAGCATAAGGCATAACAACAGTGATAAAGGAACAAAGGACTAACAGTAAGTGTATAAAATAAAGATCACATCTGGAGATAAGATTGCCATTTATAGTCTGGTTTATTCCACGTAGTCAGGACTTTGCTTTGATCAGGAAATTGACTGGATGGAAGGGGTAGGGAGGACAGTAGGTGTCTATCGCAGAAAATAACAGGACCTTAAACTGGAGCTGTTACCTCAATCCAGGAACCTAAACTTTAATGGTCTCATAAACTGAGATCATGTTGCCAAAGCTTGACCAAAGACTTGGTTGAACTTCACACACAAAATGTTTTAATTTACCCTCTCATTATTTTATTCTGGGAATAAATCCACTGTGTCAATTACTATCTAACTGATTGAATTTACAGAAAACTGAATTTCTGTGCATCTCAGTTTCCTCATTTACATTGCACAGGGTTCATGAGGGTGAGTACATGTGGGCACTCTATAAATGGCAGGCAATTCTTTTTACTTTTGTTACTTGATTTTCATGCTTTTCTCACATGTTTATGTGGAGGGGGTCTGCAATGAAGACAGCCCATATCTTCACCTTTTCTTTTCGGGTTGGCCCATTTTTATGCCTCAACCTATTGTTTTATCACTCTCTCTCTCCATGCAACTTGTTTAAGAAAATTACTTCAAGAAATGTATTGGCTATTGAGCCGCTCAGCCTAAGTAAACCAGGTATGTATCCTCCAAACGACAAAATCCTTTCCTACAACCTGCTTCTAATACACAGATCTTACAGGCTCTATGTTAGCTGCCAGAAAGAGTATATCCAACAGATTTAATTTCTAAATCTTCAAAGCTTTTGTCCCTACCAGTCTGAGTTTTCAGCAGCATTAAGGATCGATTATCTCAAATTAGAGGCAAAATAATTTGTTCCTAAAAACAAAACAAAACAAAAAAGCCCATTCTTCTCAGTTTTGGTTTTTGTCTCTAATATGATGGATGTGGCAAAGGAAATATGCATACATTAATAAATACTTATATTCTAAGAAAATATATATATTTATATTCTTGCCAAGTGTTGTAAGATTAAGTTTCCAGACAGCATTTCAAATCGTATTTTATGTGTGTGAAGGCATCTATAACTGTTGCTGGAAATCTAAATACTAGAAATGGCAATCATACTGACAAGGTCTACCCCTGGGCAATCTAGGAAAAAAGGACTCCCACATGCTCCACACCGCCTCCAAATTTGTGTATGTGCTTAAACTCACACACACAGTGAGCACATAAACAACTCATCAGCTGGATCTGACTATCCTAGGGAGAGCTCAGCAAGGCATAAAAGTAGCTCTTGGGAGACATCTGCTGCTGAAACTGGGAATTTAGCACATGTGTGAACTACAGAAACTACAAGGGCAAAATGAATTTTGTTAATTTGAGCGCAAACACCAGTCAGGTTAAAAAGGAGTGAAAAAGTTTTTAATTATCTCATCAACTTCCTCTGTGGCAGAATATGCACACTAAGCCAATGATTTATATGACATGAAATACAAAGCCGCTCATAAGGAGAATTAACAGCTGACAAAAAACAGAACAAAGAGACTATCATGAGTAGGATTCTTTACACAAGCCAACAGTTGCTAAGAGTACACCTAGAAGATACACTTCCCATACTAAAATTATCTTGTTCCATGACAAAAATTTTTAAAAAAACTTAGACCTCTCTGGGTGTCGATAATACAATCATTTCTTTTTTGTGTCTAAACTCTAGAGCAAAAATATGGGAAGGTAAGGGTCACAACTTGGCTAGAATGATATACCAGAGATGGCAGGAAAGAAATAAAACTACTCAACTTATACTTTGCTTCTTCCACCTTTTCTCTCGGGAGAATGATTTTTAGATCACAAAGATAAAAAGTAATGTGAAGATGGATCAAAATGCAAAATAGGTGAAGAGAATGACTACTTGAACAAATTCTACTCTCTAAGCTTCATGAACCTTCTGCCTGAAACAGAACCTGTCAGTCTAAGTATGGAGTCACTGCTGACAAACCTTCGGAATGACAGGGAGCGGCAAAGGTACACAAAGGACTGTAAGCGCCCACATAAAACGTCCCAGTGTTCACAAAGAATCTTTTCAAGAAATCGAATTTGAAAAGTTAAAATTGTGGAGTCTGTTGCATGTCTTTCAAAAAGTTGTAGAATAGCTTAACACGTGTAGATTTTGTCAGATTTTAGAAAAGGAATCAATGAACATTAGACACATCTACTGATTTACAAAGAAACAATACACAGCTACTCACATACCCTGTTTCTGAGGCAGCAGACTAGCGGATCTGCGTGACACCATGTCTTCAGAATTCAGTGAGGGCTCTCTAGTGTCTTTGTGAAAAATTGGACAAGGGGGCGTTGGAGGATAATCGGATGAACGTTAGCATTTGGTTGAACAACCTAATTCAACAAAATTTACTGGTATAAGGAGAAACCAATTAGCATGCCACATAGGTCTGTGCTTTGCTGTTTTACTCAACATTTTTTTTACCCACAACAGGAAGAAAATATTTTATAGCTTGCAGTAATTGGATAGCTTCCTATCTGGGATATAACGGAGAAGATCCTGTAATCATCCACAGCGGATGTTCATATTTGTTGAGTTATGTCATAATCTTTACAGCAAAGGTTCACTCCCTGCAACTCAAGGTAGAAAATCTATTCCAGGGATTAAAAGAACAGGAGACACTTGATTCATCTAACATGCATCTTGGAAACTTATTTTATTGTATAATTTCATCACAAATAAGCTATAACAAGCAGTGTCTAAATAGAGCTTAAGAAGTACTTTTAATTTTCCTTTATTACATTTTAAGATAAAACTAAAAAGTAGTATTTGAGATCAGAGCTAAGCAGACAATGAGAACTACTGGAAGAAGTACTACTGCATCTACTAACACTATTAAAGATTTTATTTATCTTTAGAGGGGAAGGGAAGGAGAGAGGGAGAGAAACATCAATATGTGGTTGCCTCTCATGGGTCCCCTGCTGGGAACTGGCCTGCAACCCAGGCATGTGCCCTGACTGGGAATCGAACTGTGATCCTTTGGTTCACGGGCCCGTGCTCAAACCACTGAGCTACACCAACCATGGCTACCAACACTATTTTTTAAATTTTATTTATTTATTTATTTTTAGACAGAGGGAAAGGGAAGGACAGAGAGAGGGAGAGAAACATCAATATGTGGATGCCTCTTCCATGCCCCCTATCTGGCCCATAACCCAGGCATGTGCCCAGACTGGGAACTGAACCAGTGACCCTTTGATTCGCAGGCCAGCGCTCAATCCACTAAGCCACGCCAGCCAGGGCTGCCTCTACCAACACTATTAAAATTATCATTATCACACACCTAAACAGGGCTTACTATTGCCAGAGCCTGTCCTAAAGGTGTTAGATAATCACCAAAAAGCACTGTTCTCAAGTAAGTACTAATATATAGACATTTCACAGACAAGGAATCTCAGATCTTAGGAGGCTAAGATATAAGCCCTAAGTTACTTGGCTAGTAAGTGGTGGGGCCAGGATTCAATACAGGATTCAGAGTGTGTCTTCTTAATCACAACTGTATTCTACTGCCAAGGGCATCTCCAAATCTTCAAGTCCAAAATAGTATCTTTATACCTGCAATTTTTTCATCCTTTTACATTTAAACAAAGTCTATTACCTTTACTTTCATGAGAAAATTTCAAGAGCTTTACAAACCTGTGTAGAGATAGCATTGCATCTGACTTACTAATATACATGGCAAGAGGAGTACTGAAGGTGTTACCCAGATTTAAAAATTAATAAGCATAAATGTTATGAATAAAGAATAACTAAAAAGTCATTTTACTATTTCTCAAATAGGCTGTCAGAATTCCAAGACACACCTGCTTCTTTTTCAGGTGAACAGTACTAATCTTATTGTTAAATGGTCCTCAGTCTGAACCTAGATATATTCCTCAGATATCTGAGTTTCTGTTTAAACAGTTATTGACTATAAGAAATGAAATATGAAAAGAAATGAAATACAAATAGAACTGGAAGTTAGAGATTATTACCTGAATAGAATGAACCCAAGTGATTCTACTGCTGCCCTTCTGACATCGTCATTAACATCACTTACCTAGAAAAAAATGAAAATATTACATTATGCCATACATTTTA